GGAGCAAATAGTCGACCTCCATAGATTACGCTGGTTGGGACATGTGTACGCATGTCACAAAATGGTTTGCCACGGCGAGCGATGTTTTCCGAGGTAGGTAGCGGTTCGTAAAAGGTCAAGGGCTGTCAAACGAAGACCTGGCGTGAAAACCCTAACCAGGAGACACATAGATCCCGTTAAGCTCCTTGGTTGGGGACGACGAGCTCCTGGGAACCGGTGGTTAGAGACACTTGGTGATATTGTTGAGTGTCGTTAACAGTGGCCTTCGTGCACCTCAGTCTCTTTGCAACCTTAGTCCACTGAAATTCTCTCCATTTTCTCCTCGACTTGACTTTCAACTTTCCTTTCTTCCTCGTACTGTTCATCTTAACGTGCAGCCAAAAGACAGCAACCAAAACCGCCCACGAATGTGCATGGTTGGTGGTTTTAGAAACTGAAACATGTTTCTTTGTTGCGCAAATTGATGGTGGCTAACGGGAGTAAACTAGTGGCACTAGCAGCGGAAGACTGTCTTTTAGGCATACGAGTGGTTAAACCGCTCGGGTGGTTTGAGTTTGCTTGGGTTGGCCTTCAGAACTGGCGATGATCCACAAAACGGGAAAATAAAACAAAACGTCTGATTTAAAATGTTAAAAAACTCTCCCAAATATCGCTTTATCCAAAAGTTTCATTTCTTTCTGTTCACCTGTGCTAGATGTTTATTGATATAAACTAATTCATATTTGTATATAAGCCCATAGCATTTATTTCTAGTTAGTGTTTTTACACAGTTTTTTCGGTTTCTTTCTTCAGTGTTAGGAACCAACAGATCTTAGGCTTGGATCTTTGTCATAAAGAAAATTTCCCCGAATGATCCGACGAATAGTTGACTCCGTATCGCTGCTGACTGACCCAGATGAGGAACAATTGAGCCCAAATTTACGTAATGGAACTGATTCTCCCAAGCCATCAACGATGCCAAATGGCACCAAGATAACTCTGCGAAATCGAAGCGCGAGCTCCTCTGGATCCTCTGACCTTGTGGACGTGAAGTACACCAATTTGTTTTCCTCATGTGGCCCCTTGACTACTATGTCCAATTCTGGATCTTGCTACATTGCACCGAAAGACATACCGGAACCGTGCACACCTGCCTCGTGTGATGAAAATCCGAAGACTTCGCGCTCACCAAGTCCTATACCGGCTCGTCGACAGTCACCCTCTCCTGGCCGGGTTGATCCCAGCTGTGTTGCCAGTCGCCAACTTCCGGGAGGTGGTCTTTCATTACAACAGCGGGTTCAACGCATACAACCTGCTAGGAAGAAAGAACACTCCAAGGGTATTGGTCCTGTTTCCAAATCCTCGAAATCCATGAAATCGAACAAGACTGGAAAGTCCGAAGAATTTCTGTCTACATATGAAGAAGAGCGAGAAGAGAACGGATTTTCCGGTATGGCTAGTCAAGCAGACCCGTTGGTGATGAGTGTTGAATGCTATGTGTTACCATTTATGCAAGATCTGAAGGCGATCGAATTGCGAATACCGGCTTTCACCTTCTCCAAAGCCCAACGGCGTATTCTGAAAATGGTTAGTTTTCGGTGCTTTATTGTTATTCGTTATTTTTTCCAATCTCACTTAAAAAAGGTACAATCATCGGAGTTGCACAGGAATTCGTTCACTTATCTTGGTAACCCAGTGTTTCCTCTGTTCAGGTTAATGCGTCATTTCTATGCTATTTCTGAACCGTAGACTTTATGAGGTGCGACAGGCAGATGTTCCATCACCTTTTGTGATGAACAACAAAAAGGTGGAGGCAAACCCGATAGTCAAGAGGCATACTATTCACTTTTATCAACGTTATTGTTATT